AATGATGAGCCCTAGCTGGTTTTGCTCAGTAGATAGAGCATCAGCCTACGGACTGAAGGATCCCAGGTTCGATTTCAGCCAAGGGCACATGCCTGGGTTGCGGGCTTGATCCCCAGTAGGGGGCATGCAGGAGGCAGCCAATCAATGATTTTCTCTCATCATTGAATTTTCTCTCTCTCCCTCTCCCTTTCTCTCTGAAATCAATAAAAAAAAATTTTTTTAAAAGAAACATCAATGATGGGAGATAATCATTGATTGGCTGCTTCCTGCACGCTCCCTACTGGGGACCAAGCCTGCATCCTAGGCATGTGCCCTTGACTGGGATTGAATCCAGGACCCTTCAGTCTGTAGGCCGGCGCTCTATCCACTGAGCCAAACCAGCTAGGGCTACCAGACGTTTTTTGAAAGCAGCTGTCCGGAAGTTTAGGTAACCATCAGTGGGATACCAGGCCGTGGAAATAGAAAGTGGGCAGCATCAAAATAGCCAGGATGAAGGAATTGATTTCTAACATCTGATTCCTTTTCTTTTGGGGGCTTATTGAGAACTTTCCACTCAGACTTCTTAAATGCCCACCTCGACATTGTGAATTTCCCCGGTGCATTTGACCAGGGAAGGACAAATTTCTTTCAGGTACAATTAAAATTCTAATGTATCGGATATAAAAGCACAGGCACATCCCAAGACTCAGCAGTGGCATTATTGGAGGAAAGGCTGCAGAAGTTAAAACACCAGAAGGGCTGTCGTCTCGACAATCCACTAAAAAGGGGGTTAGGATAATTAGAGGAACATCCCGTGGGCATGTTGTAAGGAACCCGCAGAAACCTACCTAATCATCCCCAACTGAATGGGAATAGCTTCAGCATCCACTTTCTGCAGCTGAGACCTCCGGAGCAAGAGGTGTTGCTGTGCCTACAGCCCCACCAGCACCATCCAGGGCTGCATAATGGACCTTGTACCTATATTAAAGGCAATTAAACAAGCCCTTAAAATACAGCTTCAGAGGCTTGCGGGATGGTTATAATGGAAGCTTCTGAAAAACCTACCCGAACTGGGGAGCAGAGAGGGAGCCTTTGAGGAGATTTTCAAGCATTCATGAAAACCAAAATAGATTATCCCTCTGGCTCACCTCAAAAACACGAACCCAGCGTTCAGCTCCCGCTCCTGCTCATACTGGTATCTTGTGCCATTAGAATGTCTAAAACCTGCCCTTCACAGAGCACGCAATGTATGCATTGAACCTGAGCATCTTTCTGGAATGAATGATACTTCCATTCATTTGGGTGAGTTAGGTAGTGTCTGCAGGGTGGAAGAATAACACTCATCTGGTGCCCGAGTCTGCAGTAGCTCTTTCAAAATGCAAGGGATGACAAAGGACTGGCTCTTGAAACATTATTTTACACACTAGCAGCTGCACTTGATGGAAATGATGACTTTTTCTCCCTGTTCCTTGAGGGCTCCCGTATGATACTGTGTGGGGATGCATTTCATATGATACTGTGTGGGGATGCATTTAAAGCAGTGGCTAGAGGCAAGTTAATACTGCTAACTTGGGGGGGGGGAATCTTCATTTAAGGCACAGAGTGGGCACTGGGATGCAAAAATAAGAACCCCTCCCCCAAATCTGCAATAAATCAAGAAGGGAAAGCACCGTTAGATTAATTGGAAGTGAATGCCGTAAAGGAAAACAACTATATTTGTGTCCGTATTTTTTTCAAGGCAGAAAACAGTGAATAAAATCTTAGTCATAAGCCTCAGGGCAAAAATGAACTCATAAAATATTTATTCTTTGGACTCGGATGCTGAAATTCATCTGGCATGGTGAAAACCCTAGATCTCACCACGAACTTGGAGAGCCCTTCCCCGTGGCTTCCCGGTGCCTCGTGCACAATCAGGAAGCGTCTGTGGCAATGAGCAAGAATGAGATCGAGGTAAAATGGGTTTTCCAGCAGCAAGTGTTCAAGGCCTGCTATCTGTTGACAGCCATTCATTGAAACCATGGATAGCAGTTTCGCCCAAGGAAAATTCCGGACTCCAAGATGGAGGTGCACTTCCTGTCTGGCTCACGCAGGACACTCAGTTACCACGGAACCCTAAAGGCTCTCGTTGCTCCGTAAGATGTGACACATTTTACTCTGCAGTTTTGCAAAGACTAGAATGTAACGGGAAGGCAACCTGGGGGATTGGAGAGCAAGGTGAAGCGTTTATGAGTAGACACTTGCTAAGTTAGCCAGGGAGAATTAAAATTGAATGCATGAGGACAGTCATTCAATAAATATGTACTCTGCATCTACACTGTGCCAGTACCGTAACCGGCCCAGGGATAGACGCTAAGAAGAGGCCTGTCTGGCCCCAGGTAGCGATTCAGACATCACCTGTGTGAACACTAGACTTAATGCCGAGTTCCGTGCTAGGAAAATGTCTTCAAAGAAGTACAAATGGGAAAAGTTCTCTTTTGCCAATTAGTAGTCTATAGAAAGACATCTAAACCATGCCCTAAAAGTGTCATCTTGACCTTTTCAGACAGGAGAAAAAGTGAGGTAGGGCATCTTTCCTCTCTAGTTGTTCTTTTAAAAAAATAAATAAATAGAACCACTAAGTTGCTGTAAGAAATCATCCCTAATTAATAGACCTAACATGTGTAATGTGTCATATTCCTAAGATGCTTACACAATTTTCTTCTCAAATGCATTATGGAAAAAGTACGGCTTTCAAATATACTTTCTGCTTGCTGCCACTGAATTTAATAAGAGCTTGTAGCAATATGTTGGTCTAATGGTCCATTCTGTTTAGTCTCCACTAAATAAAAATTGAAATAAGTGACAGGTGTCCTGGAAACCATACCGAGCAAATGCACCTTGCCCTTGCTCTCAGCAGGACATGGCAGAGATCAAATTACTTCATTGAGCTGTAGTTCCTGGCATATAAATGCTTAATAAATGTTTGCCCAAATATGCAGTGTCTGGGGCCCAGATAAGTGAAACGAGTCACCTCGGGTCACATAGCTAAGTGGCAGTAAAACCAAAGCTAAGTGCCAACCAGCGTTCTTTTCACGTCATGATACTGCTGCTTCTGTCCACGTGGCAATACAGTGCCTCTTAGCACTTGCGAGAGCACAGGGCTCTAGAGTCAGGTTTCTTGGGTTCAAATCCCAGCTCTGCCATTTACTAGCTGTGTGGCTTTAGGAAAGTTAACTAGTCTCCCTTTTTTTAAAAATTCTCACCTGAGGATATGTTTATTGATTTTTTAGAGAGAGGAAGAGGGAAAGAGAGAGACCATGGATTGACCCTGCAACCTAGGTATGCACCCTGATTGGGAATCGAACCTGCAACCTTTTGGTGCAGGGGATGACGCTCCAACCAACTGAGCCACCCAGCCAGGGATCTCCTTCCTTTCTGTTATCTGTAAAATAAAGAAAACAATACCTGTCCCTTCTTCAAATGATTGTTGGGAGGTTAAATGCATTCATAGATGACACAGTGCTGGGCACTTCAAAAAAACTGAGCGTTGGGTGTTTTTCTCTGTGAGTGTTTGGAGAGCATGATTACTGCGCTAGTGTTCAGTGGGGGGAGGGGGAGTGGTGCTGGCTGACACCACCTGCTGTAAAAACACGGTGTTTGCGCCGATTCTGCTGAGCATCCCCGTTGGAGAGCCACAGTTCCAGGCTAATGGGCTGCAGTGTGGGCGAGTGGCAGTGCTTCCGAACTTTTCCTCGTCCTTGGCACACAGAACATGACGTATTTGTGTAGCAGCTGAGTAAGCAGACGAGGCTGCTTAAGGCTCCAGGCTCCCTGGTTCTGTCCACTTGCCTGAGGATCGAAAGAATAAATGGTTCCACCCGCCTGCCACCCTTCTGAGGCCCGTCCATGGGAAGCAGCTCTACTGAGGTCTTTGTCAGCATCTCCCTGCTGCTTTAGTTCTGACTAGGCGTACGGAGTCGTCCCCACTGTGAGCTCCAAGTAACGAGGAGCCGGTGTGCCCCCAGCAGGCTCCTCTGGAAGGTGCTGGGGGCACGCGTGCGGCTGTGCGGGCTGTTCCTGCCTCCCGGCCCCCTGCGATGAAGCTGGCAGGTGCCGTGGGCAGGTGAAAGGGTTGCCCTGCAAACAGTGAGTGTGCAGTAAACCATCCCAAGAAGATGCCAGTGATCACCTCACCAGCTGCATGTTCCCAGGCAGAAAACTGAAGCTCAGAGCGACTATCCACGGTTCCTCCCAAGGCTGGGGTAGAACTAAGACGGGAACCCAGGTGTTTCAACAACAACTCGGTGTGCTTCTTGCTGCCTGCTTTGTGGCCGCCATGGGGAGGGTGGATATCATTGGAGAAGGGAGGCTGGTCTGTGACTCCCTCCCCCACCCAGAAGCCAAAGTCACCCCTTCTTCCACATTCTTCCACACATGTGCACAATGTGAGACCGTCCTGAGCAAGGCCTCCAGGAGCAGCCAGGGTGGGTCAGAGGGAGGAGAGGCGAGGAGGGCTGTTAGGAATCTGTGTTTGAGGCAGTCTACGTGGGAGATGACATGGGCTTCCATAAGGCAATATTGGGAAGCAGCGAGAGGAACCATTGGAATTAAAAGATGTCACAGCAGTAACATCAACAGGTGGTCTGCACGGTGAGGCTGATGGGGAGGAAGGGAGAGGGGACTCCAAGACTTCCAGTTTGTCATTATGATCGTGTTATACGACAGTTGACAAATTGTTTTTTTTATCCTTGCTTTTCATTTCTTCCTTCCTGTTTAGAGAACATCTTTTTTTAACAGAAATTATTTCATTTCAAAGTTGAGAATTTTGCTAAGGTTGAAGGTCTCCGATGTATACAAATTCCCACTTTCTGCTTTTTCTTGGAGAGCAACGTTGCCCTTCTGTCCTGTTCTCCAATAACCCTGTGGATCTGTTGAACTGCTTTCTCTTGTTTTTCTCCTGCTTTGAGAACTTCTTTTAAAGTACGCACAGGAACACGAAGGCATTTTGCTTCTCTAAATACTGACTTTGACACCCTCCACAGCTACCCGCTCCCTTCCCCAGGGCTCAGCAGCTCGGACCGGCTACCCTTCGGCATCGAGGAGAACGGGGGCACGCCATTCACTACCAAAGCTTCGGGGCGGCACCACCACCACCACCACCACCAGCACCAGCACCAGCACCAGCACCACCCAAACTATGGCCTCTCGCTGACCCTGGAGAACAAGGAGGGGCCTTTGAGGTCCCCAAACTCCAGCAGCAAATCCCTTACAAGTGAGTAGGGGTCGGGGACCGGGGTGGGGTAGTGGGAGGGATGCTACAGGGCATGGCTGGCTTCCATGCATCCTCAACACAGACCCTGCAGGTGCAGCGTGCAACGGGGCTAATGTCAGCGCTGGGTTACTGGGTCTGGGCCTTGAGCAATTAGGTAGGAGCGAGGTAGGGAGTATGGTTTACCAGGAAGCTGATTTCATTACAAGGTGACAATCCTCTCTCCTCCTGCTCATTCCTTAGCCCATCTCTGCTTCATCCGTCTCCAGCACAGGCTCAAGGTGACGGAAAGAGAAAGAGGGGAGTGAGTCGGCTAGAATATCTGCTTTCCTAATTTCAGGAAAACCCATTCTAGCCCCTTTCTGACATCCCTCTTCTGAGAGCAAGGTGACCTCAGATCCCAGGGAGAGAAGTTATGGAAATGGAGAGTAAGCCATTAGAAACATTTTTAGCAATTTAAAGGTGATTTTATAACTGTTAAAGCTTTAAAAATGTGGGCTTGGGTTTTGTATGTCTATTATTTTATTTTTCTAGAATTCACTTCTATTATATTTTGTCTAAGAATTGGTCTGTGACATCCAGGGGGGAAGAACTGATTCTTTATCGTATACGGTTTGAAAAAGCAGTGAGGAAGAGGCAAGCGTCAAGAGGCGGCAATTCCCAGGCTCACTATTGAGCCAAATCTCCTCTTGGATCCCTGGTTTTCTCAGCTATGAAATGGGGTAGAGGGTGTCCACATGGATGGCCAAGGAACCTTCCAGCGCTGACATTTTGGGAGTCTGTAAGCTGGTGAAAAGAAAGAGCCATTGTGCCTTCACTCGTTGGCCACAGGGAACAATTCCCGGTTGGCTAAGCCGGGAATGGGAACTCATCATTCCCTTGGTGTTGAAGAATCAGAACTCCCTCCCGTCATCACTATCCACACAGCCCTTGCCCTAGGCCGTGGCATCTTTTTGTATCTGGATAACTGTTACAGCACCTTCAAGGGCACCCCCTCTAGTGCACCCCCTCTCCAGGTTGTAGCTGCCAAAGTGGGAGCTCTCACCAGGTAGCTCTGACCAAATGCCTAAGACCGTCCCACGGTTCCTCCCTGTCCTGCAATAAAGCCCATACGTCTAAGCGTGGCCACACACAGACCTTCACAGCCTGGCCCCTGCCAAGGTCTCCAGCCTTCCCTCCACTCACTAGGCTCCAGCCAACACTCTGCTCTCACCACGCATTGTGCTGTTTCCCAGCTCAGGCCTTTGCACCTGCTTTCCTCTGCCTGGTGAACTCCTACACATCCCTCAGGAACTGGCTCAGATGTCATCAGTGACATCTAACACCCCTCCCTGATTCCTAGCTGTGGAGTACCTTCTCTCTCACTCCTGGAGCAATTAAATAAGCCTTTTATTACTCTCATTTGGAGTTGTCTGCACATGCATCTGCCTCATTCATCTCTCTGTTCCAGCTCCCCAGACCTAAATGGCAGAGAATACTTGGCACAAGTTTTAGTGTGGAATGAATATCACATATTTAACGTCATGTGTTAATGGGTAAATACTAGCTAGTGGGAGGGGTGGCGGAACTAATCCAAAGCAGTAGAGAAATAAAAATCAATGAATTTGACTTCAGAACCATAACCTAGTTTTTAAGGGCACATCCATATAGGCCTGTTAGCTTGAACACGAATCTTTCCAATTTGCATAGTGCTTTACCATTAATAAAGCATTTGTACATGCAGGACCTCATTTCATATTTGCAACAATTTTGAAAGGTAAATCATTTTATTTTCAATGTAAAATGGCACAAAAGCTCAGAGAGGTCAAGTGATTCACCCAGGCCACCCAGCTCATATATGAGGGAGTTAGGCCTTGAAACCTTGACCTTAGATGTTCTCACACCCCGTCAACTAGTTGTATTCAAGGGATGCAAGCTGCCAGAGGAGGAGGCAGACAGAAAAGGTGCTAGCAGTGGGGCTCTGGAAGCATCTTTTACCGTCTCGCTTTTCCTCATTCGTTCCCTTTTGTCTCTTATAGAACTGACTCCAGGAGCACCTGCCCTGTTCAATGAGGCAGCCACGCATCTAAAGAAGCTGGAACTGGACACTGTGAAGGCTCCTGGACCCTGGCCTACTCTGCACATCAACATCAATAAGGTACCGAGGACCAGAACCAGGCAATGAGCGTGGACCTGGGGCTCACGTCAGACCTCTGATGATTACCCTGGCTGCCTCCTAGACCCGGTGCCTTTGGCTTGGAGGGGTTTCTCCTCAGGCTTTCCTGATGTTTCTGCTCAGCGTGTCTGAGGAGCAAATATTCACTTACATCCTTTTTGGGTGACTTACCGAGTGAGGCATTGCCCTCAGTGCTGAGGCCAGCAGGGCTGGATCTATTAGTGGTCTCTCCCTCCTTCTAACGGAAGGATCCACAAGCGAAGAGTCCTCACTCTGCTCTTCCCATTTTTACCCCTCTGTATTAGTCTGCTCATGCTGCTATAACAAAACACCATAGACCAGGTGCCTTAAACAACAGACATTTATTTCTCACAGTTCTGGAGGCTGGGATTAGGGAGTCCAAGATTGAGGCACTGGCTGATTTGTTTCCTGGTGAGGGCTCTCTTCCTGGTTTGCAGAAGGTCGCCTTCTTGCTGTGTTCCCATTTGCCAGAAAAAAAATGATCTTTTTCTCTTCCTCTTCTTGTAAAGCCACTCATCCCATCATGAAGTCCTCACCTCATGACCTCATGTAAATCTAATTACTTCCCAAACGACTCATCTCCAAATATCATCACATTGGGGGTCAGGGCTTCAACATATGAATTTTTTTTGGGGGGGGGGACACAGTTTGGCCCATGCCATTTCCTCTCTCTCTCTCTCCAACTGTGCCTGGCACATAGTAGATAATCAGTAACTATTTGCTGATGGAAGGAAGGGGAGGCTTGAAGGAGGGAGGGAGGGAGGAAGGGAGGGACAGGGCAGAAGCCAAGTTCTCTTTTGGTTAGATCTGTTCTTATCCAACTGCACAGCCTTGTAAAAATCTAATTTTATGTTAGAACTATAGACTGTCAGGGCTGGATTTGATCTATTATTTAGTTCAACCTTCTCAACATCAAACCAGAGGGAGGGAAATTACTTCCTCAAGGTCACACAGCAGGGGCTGAATCTATGCACCCCGATGCCTGATCCGTTGCCCTTTGTACTCCGATATGGTTCTTTCTTTTCTTCCCCAGGTTTCTCAGTTTCAGGCCTTATGGCATTTGGGGCTATTGTTTCTTTGTTGAGAGGGACTGTCCTGTGTATTGTAGGATGATTGCAGGCCTGGCCTGGACCCACCAGATGCCAGTACCACCCCCATCCAGGTGTTGAAACTAAATTGTCTCCAGACTTTGCCAATTGTTTCTTGAAAGGTCACATCGCTCCCAGTTGAGAGCTGCTTTTGTCAGAATATTTTACTCTTTTAAAGTCCCCAAAGGAATAGTCGTCGTCATTCCTGGGTCACTTCTTCCACTCTAATGCTTAGCTTTGCTCTTTTATAAGAAGGAATTTGGAAGACCTGACTTGGGAAGCGCCCCTTTGCTGGTGAGCATGGGAAGGTTATACCTCCTGTCTGGGCTGTTCTTCCACCCTAGCCAGCCCTCCAGTCTACAGTAGACTTCAGAGCTTCTCAGAAGACCCTCACTCCCTTGCACTCCTCCTCCCCACACAGGGCAGCCTGAAGTCCTTCTGTTCCTTAATGGGATCCCAACCTCAAGGCCCCCCTCATCCACTTTTCTTCTTTTTTAAATATATTTTTATTGCTTTCAGAGAGGAAGGGAGAGGGAGAGAGAGATAGAAGCATCAATGAGAGAGAATCATTGATCGGCCTGACCGGGAATCGAACAGTGACCTCCTGGTTCATAGGTCGATGCTCAACTGGCTGGGCCACTTTTCTTTTGTACTGTGCTCCCTGTTGGCTAGCTGGAGAGAATTCCCCTGCGGGATGACACTCATTCATTCAAGCAACAACTCTTTATTGAGCAGGCCCATACCAGGTCCTGGGGAGTCAATCCAGTGCATCGTGTGCCCTCTAGACTTGTCCTTCTCTGTCTCTTGGTTTTCAACTTTTCTGATGCACAATACACATTAAATGTTTTCACGGGGGTTTACACAGAGTTTGACAGAACCCAAACATGTTTTGTGAGGAAGTATAGCTTGTAATATCAGGGAACTCAGAAGCGGTATGTAACTGGTCATCATCATGAGTGTTGGTGGGAAATGGACAACAGTGGCTTGCTCTGGGTTAAGGCAAAGCTGAGACAGCTGTGACTTAATAAGTTTTTCCCTGAAGCTCAAACTATATATAATGCCTCTCTTTTCTCTCCCACTTGAAGAAATACCTCAGTAAGCAGGCAGGCTAGGATGATGTCAGATAACCTTGACTTTGTCCTATCACATAAGCAAAGTATATTATTATTTCACACTATGATTTTTATCATTAATAAAGCATTCCTCACAACAGACCTTACAACTTATATGATACCACAATTGGGACCAGTGGCTTTGATGACTCTTAAAGTTTTTTCCAGCCTCAATGATCAAGAATCTACTGATTCTTCTAAGGTTTGGAGAAGTACCTGTTCTTGATTTAATGGTGAGAAGACATTTTCATTGCTCAGTTCCAAAGTAGTACCTAAAGTTATCATAAGAAGTTAAATCTCATGAGATTTCAAAAGTTGTGAACAATTCGTGTCAATAATTCAAAAATGCTCCTGATCATTTCTTTATCCCCATTGCCATCCCCAAACAGATGGACCTTTTCTAATGACCAAGTCCAAGTGTCATTCCTCTGTATGTTTTGAAGTCTGTATTTCTATATCAAACAATAAATCATCTGTCCACAGATCAAATTGAATGTAAAATACAAACTCTGATTATGCAGAAGAGAAAGCACAACATTCTCAGAGCCATCCTCCAGGCTGAGATATGGTCCTGTTGCAATCCAAATGCTTATCTCCCCTGAAGACACCTTTTATGCAAACATGTTCACATAATGATACTTGAATTTTCCAAAATTTATATTGGCCTCCGTCTGAGTCAAATCAGAGAGCTGAACAGTCGCTCTTGCTTTGTCCAGATCAAACAGGAACAAGCCAGCTTGAATTTTATGTCTAAAAAGAATTACTAAATTCAAGGGGGGAAAAAATCAATGCTGGATCCTCATTCTTTTCTTATTTTAGCAGCATTCAATTTTTTTTAAGTAGGTCTTCGGTCACGACTTTGAGTATAACTATGTCTCCTTAAGCAATTGTCAAAAACCTCAAATGGGCTTTGGAACCAATTTAATTTCTGTTTCCCAGCATATCATTCCCCCAAAGTAAATCTAATTTAAAAAGTAACTCTTTGCACACCAGGGAAGACACCATTCTGGCAGTAAACACTTTATCTGACAGGATTTAGAAACACATGATGCATCATCCTAAAGGTGTACTGTAAATCTCATCTTTCAAAATACATAAGTTACTTCATTTGCTGTTTGGAAACTGCTAAGTCTCTTAGGATAATGATTCCAAATGAGTCCGTTTTCTTTATATCCAACTTGACGGCTTAAGATCATTAGTGTCCTCATGTCTGATGTTCTTTTTTAGTTATATTTTCTTTTCTAACCAAAGAATCTACCATGAAAGTGCCATTCATATCTTATTTTCTCACTTGATCCTCATAATAACCTTATGAAGAAAGAAACTGAAACTCAGATTAAGGGAAGCCAGTGTGGTTGACTGGTCAGGGCTCCAGCCTTGGGGTCACCTAATTCTGGGTGTGAATCTTTGCTCTTCTTGGAACTTACTGTGTGGCCTTGGGCAAGTGGCTTACTTTCTTTTTTTTTCTTCTCATCTATAAAATGGGGATAGTGATTGTATCTACCTCCACACGTGATGGTAAAATGAGAAAATGCAATAAGATAGACAAAAGAAATGCTTGGTCAGTGCCTTGCCCATTATAAGCTCTTGGTAAATGTTATTATTTTCTTTTTGTTATCATCAGCAGCAGCAGCAGCAGCAGCAGCGGCAGCAGCAGCAGCTTTTGTTTATGGTGCTAGTAAGGGAAAAAGCTGAGATTCAAATCCAGGTCTTCTGTCACTGCTTATCTCGCTGTTACATGAGATTGCTGAGTTCTGCTTCGTCTACCAAATGCTCCTCTATGCATTTGGAGGTCCCATGGAGACACTCTTTTCTGTGCCCTCTTTTCTTTAATAAATGATGTCAACCAGCCAATTGCACAATAATTCCTCCAGGGGTCCCATGATGTTCCATAGGACTTTTGAGTTAGAGAGTGAGATTAATTTTGGAACTTGCAGAATTTGAGGCCTTTAGAACATTTTGTTCTTGCCCTGGCCCATTGTGGCTGACAGGCCACATTATGTCCTGCTATCACAAAATCGACGTTTAGCAATCATGTGCCCTTGTATCTTTCTTATGAAATACATCTCTTCTAATAATAACTATATGTCATTATGATCTTCCTCAGCAGGTGTTTATTGAGCACGTGCTATGTGCTCAGTGGAATATGCAATGACCACAATAGACATGGCTAACAATAAGACATGATTTCCCTGCGTGTAATATGTATGCCATCCAAGAGGATATGCATAAGCATTTTTAATAGTTATATAACTATCATACTGTACATTATAATAAATATAATAGTCACCAAGCCCATGATTTCAGATATTATTGCTTAGGACACCTACTTAAACTAGGTAGTTCCAGGGTAATCCCATTTAACTGGATCATATGAATTATAGGTGCATGATCAGTTAGTTCATGGGAAATGGCAGACATAGTAAGTTATGGAAGAAGTCTGAGACACTCTACAATGAGGGAGCATAGATACAAATTTCTCATTGTGAATCACGTTTTTCATCAAAATTTATTGAAAACATACCAATGAATATTTTATACTCTTTCCTTTGACGCAATGAGCCACAGAATTGAATCTTTATATGTAAAAGGTAGCAGTTTGGGGGGAAATAGCACTGCACTAAGATATAGGAGACTCGAAGTTGAGTCCTGGACCTGCCTGCTGGTGTAGCTACAGGGCTCTCAAAGAACATCCTCTCTTTGAACCTTCACCCCATCTTCTTCTTTTTTTAATTTTTATTTATTGACGAGACAGAGAGAGAGAGAGAGAGAGAGAGAGAGAGAGAGAGAGAGAAACAACAGGACAAAGAGAGGGAGAGATGGGGCGGGGGGTGGGGAGAAAGAGAGAAACATCTATTTTGTTCCACTTATTTGGGCATTCATTGGTTTCTTATTGTACTCTGCGACCCTGTGTTGGTCATGGCCCTGTAGGGATCAAACCTGCAACCTTGGTGTATATGGATGATGCTCTAACCAACTAAGCTACCCGGCCAGGGCTCACCCTGTCTTCTGGCTCCATGTGCTCCCTAATGCATCCTCTCTCTGCTTCACATGAGAATGAGAGGAAGGGCTTGTCAATTCTTTGCACATAGTAAAAGCACTGGTTACAAATATAAGGCTTTGGTGATACACGTCTTTATATGTTTAAGTCTGTGTTGTTTGCAATTATGATGAAAGGAAAGGTTAATCTGTATGTTTTCCTTTTCCTTTGCATCCAATCTGTTGCATTTTGGCTCATCACAGGTTGAAGAAAAAAAAGTTTCTGAGAAGACTCTTCAGACCCCACTCTTGCCTTCCCCTGTGGCTGATCACGTGAAGTGTAACATTTTGAAAGCCCAGTTGGAGAATGCTTCCCGAGTGAGTGCCCAGGTGTGTGGAGCGCATGCATTCCTTTGATTTCACACGACAGAAGTTCCTCCAGGCCCGAGAGAAGAATGAGGTACTCTAGGACCCTGTGTCGGTCATGGTCCAGCCAGGAGACAGGAGCCACACCTGTCATGTGCAGAGAGATTTTAATATAAGGAGTTATTAACTGGTTACAGTTATGAATCGGGTAAGTGCATCGGCCAGCTCCGTAGGTCGTGACGGGTATGAGGGCCGCAGACGGCTGCATCTCCCTTTGCCTTCTAGCGTGCGTCCAGCTGGCATGGCTGTCTGGGGGGTGTCTTTCCTCCCCCACTGTTCTTGGTGGGACTCACCAGAGGGAGGGGGACAAAGCTTCTATCAAAATCATCTGACACGGTTCCTCCCAGGCTGTTATGCTTATGTGAAAGAACAGATCCCAAAATGCTTTATGAGCTGTTAAGTGCTGCGTGGTTATAGAGCTGATTGTTATTCCCGATCTAAAATGCGAGGTGGGGGTTCAACTGTGGGTTTGGCTTTTCGCACACCATCCTTTTCTCATTCAAGCATGAGCTGGCGCATAGCAGGTGCTCAACAAACAAGCATTGATTGCTTTTGAATGATGAGGCGTTAATCCCCATGATGGGGAATGACTCAAGAAGACATTTTATTTGTTGTTAACTTACATAAACACCAGAGAATATTTGTTATTGACTGAGTACTTGATGAACTACCTCCTCGATCCACCTTCACATTTCTATAATCCATTGAGTGTAGGAGACGTGAGAACAGGTTCACATGCCAAGACATTCACCTGCCTGTTTTCTTTCACAGGCTGGAAAAGAGGAATCAACGTTTGTAAATATCAATAAGAAATCCAGTCTTCAGGACGCTAATGTAAGGTCTGTTGCTTCTTGTTTGAATGGGGAAACAATATTCTCTGTATCATCAACATGATCCTGAAAACATTGCTCATGAGGGTTTTGCTAAGAAAATCAGAGAGGAAGAAGAAAACTGGGTGAATGGGAGCCTGGCGAGATAGGAAAAAAGAAAAAAGACTGGCTTACACGACTTCATTTGAGCCTCAAAAATGCTGCTTATCCCCAGTTTTAATATTGCTACCTGCGGTGCTAACAGAGAAATCACTTTGAGTTGCTTCTCAAGTGTAGAGATCTGACCTTGTCATTCCCCTTAAAGACTCCACTTTGCTCTCAGGGTGCCATCCAGACTCGACCACTGCAAAAATGCCTGAAAGCCTTCCCCTAAAATTGCTGTTTTGAATGGGGCCTATTGGTTATCTGGCATATTTTATTGAGGAAAGGTAAAAGTGAAATTTAATTTTTACCATGTTTACATATGCATTTGAATTAAAATGTTTTAGAGCAAGTCTTAAAGGTATTCTGATTATGCATCTTTCACATTAACTACTCTACGGTTCTTTATCTTTAAATACATATATTCCATAATATGGCTACAAGATTACTTGGAAGTAAGTAAAAATCGGTTATCCACAGGTTTCTCTTTACTCATTTTACTAGTAAATCCTGGTAATGCATCAAACCCTGATATTGGGGATGCGTGTCTTGGGTACCCCAATTACACTCAGTTCCTACTTGCTATATTTTCTTTATTAGGATATTTTTTTGTTTTTGGATTTTCTATGGAATTTTTTTAAAATGGAATTTTTTTAAAAATTATATTTAATTAGTAGAGTAGAGAGGAGAAAAAAATGATTATCTTAACTATTATTTTTATTAAGGTAATCCCCCCATAGCTAAAACAAGGCCACACAAATTTTTGTTGGGGTTGTTCTGTTTTGCTTTAGTTTCTTTATTTATTTATTTTTAAATTTTAGTTAACATACCATGCTCTATTAATTTCAGCTGTGCAGTATAGTGATTTGACATTTATATGCCTTATGAAGTGATCACCACGCTAGGTCTAGTAACCATCACTGTACAAAGGTAGTATGATACTAGTGGCCTGGTGCACGGATTTGTGCACATTGAAAGGAAATTAATTCGAAGAAATATTTTAATATCGCTATTCGCCCTTTCTCTATAATAGAAGTGTCAACCAAATTCACCATCGACAATGACAGATCGAAACACAGGTGTGGAATTGGCACCAGCGAGAGCTTTATATATATCGTGCATGTGCGAGTCAACATTTATTTTTAAACTAGTGACCCGGTGCACGGATTCGTGCACATTGAAAGGAAATTAATTGGAAGGTGGCCAGTGGGGCAGGACTGGGTGAGACAGGCCAGACATGCCCTGGAGCCAACCTCCTGTGGTCCCTCCCCGGCGTCTGTGGAGTGAGCAGGGTCCCTCCAGCAGGTGGGGTCCCTCAGCCTGGCCTGCAAGGATTGAGCCGAAACCAGCTCTCCAACATCCCCTGAGGGGTCCCAGAGTGGGAGAGGGAACTCTGCAAAGTTGCTGTCGTACAGGGTGTGGAATGCAAATGCAAGTGTGCAGTAAACCAGATTCGGGCTGACAGTGTCCCAGCAACAACATAACCGCGAGGCCCCACGAGGAATCCGGCTCCCTCCTCTCTGGTTTCGGGGTGCATCACCCGAGAACCACCGCTGCCAAGTCACTGCAGCTCAGCAGCTTCTACATTGAGTGTCTGCCCCCGGGTGGTCAGTGCACGTCATAGCAACTGGTGGGATGGTGGGAGGGACACTTTGCATAATTAGCCTTTTCTATATATAGATTATTCCCTCTATTGCCTATGGTATACATTGCATCCCCGGGACTTATTTTATAACTGGAAGTTTGCGCCTCTAAATTCCCCTCACCTTTTCGCACATCCCCCCTAAACCCCTCTTTTCTGGCAACCACATTATTCTACGTGTGTATTTTTTTTTTTTTTTTTGGTCTATCTCTAGAAGTCCTATTCCTATACGTGTGGAAACGGGCCAGCCAGCAGTGGAAAAGCCGGAAATCAAGCCTCCCCGAGTGAGGAAGTTAACAAGGCAATACAGTTTGTGAGTTCTTACTGCAAATTTCTCAGATATTACAACAAGGGTGATGCTAAATGTTCAGTCATGAATGCTTCTTAACCCTTCACATCAGTCCCAAAGACCCATCCCCAAAATACAGTTAATTTCCAGGTTAGGTCATAACAAGACCAGACCTTCCTCCCTGAAAACACTACAGAGTTGGCATCTATATTCATTATAAAATGCTGTGAACAAATTACTACAAAACTTAGTGGCTTAATTAAAACAATCTGTGCGGCCGGTGTGGCTCAGTGGTTGAGTGTCCACCTATGGATCAGGAGGTCAGGGTTCGATTCCCGATCAGGGCACATGACTGGGTTTTGGGCTTGATCCCCAGTAGGAGGCATACAGGAGGCAGCCGATCGATGATTCTCTCTCATCATTGATGCTTCTATCTTTCTCCCTCTCCCTTCCTCTCTGAAATCAATAAAAATACATTTAAAAACAAAACAACAATAACAAAACAATCTGCCTTTATTGTCTCCCAGTTTCTATGAGTTGGGAGGCCAGCCAGGGTTTCGCTGGTCAGGGTCTCACAGGCTTTTCGAGGTACCAGGGGGAAGAACAAAATGACTTTGATAATTCTCATCTGAGGACTCGCAATTTAGTAGAGGGAAAGGCAGATTACAAATAATTATAATCCAAAGAATACCGGTAGTGCTGTAGTAAGGGTGGCGATGGTCTTCGTAATAGTAGCAGTACTGACCCAATGGCATTTTTCATTTCTTGACCTTGGCTGTGGCACCAGGCCTGGTCAGTGAGCTGCAGGGGGGCCTTTGGGTGCAATGGAGACCTTGTGAGGCCCCTGTAATTAGAAAGGCTCCTGGTGGAGGCCTGGCTAGTTTACTGCTGGAAGCTCTTGGGGAAGTTAGTCTATGAACCTCTCTTTCTTCCTCTGTAAAATGGGTGAGATCATACCTACCTCTGAGGAATTTTGTGAGGGTGGTTAACATGAGTTAATGTGGGTAAACCTCCTAGCCGGTGACCTGGCCACAGGATAAATTAGTCCCCGTTCCTTTCTTCTCAAGGACCTGAAAGCTTCTGAGAAAAAGTCAAGTTTAAGGGGGCCTACCCTGAGTGCACAGCCTAGGACAGGGAGTAAGGGGATCCAGCTCTCAACCAGCTGTCTCAGGCCTGCCACCTTGTGGAAAGAAGGAGGAGGAGGGCAGACACTTCCCACCTCATTATCCCTCCATAGAAACTTCTGGGCAGTATGAGCAGCTGTATTTCCTAAGAAAGCCCAAACGAGTAAGACTCAGATAATTAACAGCCGTAATGCTCTCTGGGGGACAAATTAAACCCTGAAAAATCTGCTTCCCTGAGGATACGGCTGGCAGGATTAGCCTGGCCTTTTACATTTTGAAATTTAAAATGTTGCTGTCAGCCACTGGGGATGTGTAATCATGTTGGAAACAATGGCTGATAAGTGGCCTGGAAGAAGAGAACTCACCAGATTGCTTCCTTTAAGCCTAGCACGTTTAGAAAGTGACAAGCTGCTTTATCTTCTCCAGAAATGTAACTTAACTGTTTCTTTAAACATAGTGTGAAAGTCCAAAGAGAAGTAACCAATTCCCTAGAATCGCTCCATCAAAAATAATCAATGTTCCCATTTGATGGCTTACTTTAGACATTTCTCTCTGCGTGCATCGTGTCAAAATAGGGGGGAAAATCATTTCGAAGAAAACAGTGCTGCACATAAAATTTTACTTATTAAAGTGTTGTTTCATGAATTTAATATGAATTTACCTCCAAGCTGAGGTAAAACTGAAAGACTTGATGAACTTCAGATACATATTTCTTTGCTAAGTTAAGACAAAAGGTTGTTTTAAGAAATTAAGAATTTGGAGTCTTTTTCCATTTGAGACAGTATCCATTTACTTCCTGCTCCGAAAGATGAGCTGTTTTTTAAATGGCTTTTTATGTAAAACTAAATAATAGCTATGCTTTTCAGGTTACAATTTTTCTAATGAGATAATAAGAAATTTCAATCCCACTCTTCCACTTAACTGGCTGTGTGACTTGGGCAAGTAATTTCAATCACAATACAGGGTGGTTGTGAAAATTAAATGAGCTAATGATGTAACTGATCTGACTTAGTTCCTCAGCAGGAATCCAAACTCATGGTGTCATTAAGTTTCCTACTTAATTGTTCAAACCCTACCTGTCCTCCCTTTTTTGTAGTAAGTCCCAAGTCCTCCTCTTGAGGCTTCTCCATTCACAGAATGACCTCAGATCCCCAGAGCCCTCCTCAGTCTGTCCCACCCACACCGCAGCCATGTCCCTCAGCCATGTTTCCCACAAGGCCCTCTGCTCTGATGAGGCCATCATGCGGGACCCTACACGGGCCACACTGGTGCCCTCTGGTCATCACATTGGTGCCCACTGGTCATGGGTCTTGTATCTACCCTCTTTCGCTCAGCCATCATTTCTTTCTTTTAAAAAAATTTTTTTAAATTTTATTTTAGAGAGAGAGGAAGGGAGAAGAATAGAGAAAAAGAAACATCGGTGAAAGAGAATGCTGCTTCCTGCATGCCCCCCACCAGGGGTTGGGGGGGACTGAGCCTACAACCTGGGTACATGCCCTGACCAGGAATTGAATCGATGACCTCCTGGCTCATGGGTGGATGCTCAACCACTGAGCCACACCGGCCAGGCTCAGCCATCATTTCTAAAACACAACCTTATGGCTGGGTGGCTCCGGAAGTGCCACATGGAGAGCCTTAGGCAAAGTCTGTCAGGGTCCCCAAGACTACTGTCACCTTTGATGACTCGCTGGAGGAGTCACAGAATCCAGAAAAGCTGTTTTCCTCAAAGCGAGGGTCGATTAGAGTGAGAGGATGCAGCGTAAAACAGCAAAGGGAAAAGGTGCATCGAGTGGAGTCCAGCAAGTCCAGGCACAAGCTCCCAGGCATCCTCTCCAAGAGGAGCCCCCTGGGCGGTGCTGAAGTCTCCCAGCAACAGTGTGTGACACACACGTGAAGTGCTGCCAACCAGAGCTCGCTCCAGACTTGGCATCCAGCGTTTGTATTAAGGGTCACTCATGTGACTGACCTTAGCTACCCAGTCTCCAGCCCCCCCCCCCCCGAGGTCAAATTGATACAGTGTTACCCCCAGCCCCAGGCATTCATACAAACACAGGCATTCGCCATAAATCACATTAAGAGCAGGCACTGCCTGGCATGGCTTAAGATGTCAGGTACAAAGACGCTCTGATGAGGCAGGATCTTCTAAGGGCCCAGAGGTCCCCCCGGGCTTGTCAATGACCAGTGGTTCATTTGGAGCGGGCAGGGTTTGTTTTGATTATCCCTGGCCCTCCGAGTTAGCCATTTACTGCTCAGGGAGCAGCCTGACTGGCATTAGGCGTTTGGGGCCTTGTGTTTATTTCTCTACGTTTGAGAAAATGTTGTCCATACTAAGAACGGGGGATGGATGCTGCTGCTCTTGCCCTGTGCCGGGATGAGCCCAGCTGGCACTTGGACTTCCCCACCCTCGTGGTGACGAGGTCCCTAGGTCAGCTTCATCCGGCCAGCAAGCAGAACAGGCGCCAGCAGGGGCTGCAGGGAGAAAGCAGTGGGGCGTTGTTCACTGGGTACCGTTACTGCTGGGGCTGATGAAAAAGTTTTGGGCATCGATAGTGGTGATGATTACACAGCATTGAGAATGTATTTATGCCACTGCATTGTACACTTACAAATAGATAAAATAATATTATGTTATGTGTACTCTTTCCTTAAAAAACTTATTTGAATCCCTCGGCAAGTGACAGAAAATCCAGCCCAGATTAGCTTTGGCAAAAATGTCAGTGTACTGGGTCCTGTAAGCGGGGCCTCTGGTAGAGGGGGACCTCTGTGTAGGGGACCCCCCACCCCCACCCTGGCATCCTCGACCCCCCGCCCGCCCTTCCTCTCCTCCCCACAGCCTGCTTCTTATTGTAATGAGCAGAGCTTCATGTGCTTTTAGCAACCGCAGTGATGAAGACGACCTCCCTCCGGAGCTGGCCGAGGCAGTCGGCATGACCACCACCGCCACCACCTCCACCACCACGGCCGCCGCCGCCACGCAGGTCTCGGCACCACTGGCGTCCCCCAAGGTCCACAAAGTCACCTCGCCTCAGAATTCCGAAGCCAAGAGCCCGCTGTCCCCAGGGGCCAAGGTACGTGGGAAAAGCAAGCCACTCTTGCTGGGGATTCGGTAGAAATGAAGTGTGCGGCATCCGTGTGCATTTCCGTTTGCATCACCAACGCTTGTAAAAGCTTTGCACTGTAAAACAAACTCACCACCAAAGCATGTGTGTTTTTTTTTCTATAACTGTCCCCAACAGATAGGCTGTGAGAGACAAGCAGTATACTATAAAACCACGCGCACCGTACTGTAAGGGAAATTCAATAAGAGATTTTTGAAGGCAATTTTAAATTCAGAATATCATCGCTACACAGACTGTTCATTGGGAAGATAGAGCGTAAGAAATGGGCTTTCCTCCCACAGCGGAAAATTGGGAGGAGTAACATGTAGACGTATCCCCATCGCAAGCCTTATGTCGGAGAGCCTGGGCAAACAGTGCCCCCGAGGGGAATGGTTTGAAATGTCAGGATATTGCCAGCGATGCGAATGGGCCGTGACAAAGGCCTCACACAGCCTTTCTCTTGACCCCTAGCTGTGGTCACTTCAGCCTCTGGTCCAAATACGGTCGAACCTATTGCTCCCCAAGCAGATGCTGAGCCAGAGGGGGCTTGGCCTGCGGGCCCCTCTGAGGAGCAGTATGTGCACGGGGTGGGGGCCTGAAGGCAAGGCCAGAGCCCCGGACTGTGGCTGCTTGAAATGAGCTGTCACTCTGCAGCCCTGGTTTCTCCGAGCCTCAGTTTCCTCCTCCTGAAAATGGGACTCATCTCGGCCACCCTGCCCCGCTCCTGGGCTAGCTGCGGGTCCAGTGGAGGTTAAAGTGCAAACCGGGTGCCGAGGGCCTCGCAGCATCGAGGTCACGACTCCTGGTAACATCTAGGTCCCAAGGTCCGGGCCCACATCCTGTGTGACCAACGCCAGTCTCTCACTGGGTCCCTGCCCAGGATTGCTGGGGTGCTTTTGCCTTCCTCCACAGGAGCCTGGCTGGACCCCTCAGCCAGGGACCCCCCGGACCACAGCTCCTGCTTTTCTGTAGCTCACCCCCTGGCATCTGCACTGGGGTTCTCCTCTGCTGTGCGGAGTCCCCGTGCCGCGTTGCCGGAAGGGTGGGCACAGGCGCCTATGGTGTATCCCACACCCTGGTTGAAACCAAGTGAAAACATTTGCAAAACAGACATGAGTTCCGTGGGGATGGGGGCAACATCCTAGCAGAGGCCACAGGCTCCCTCTCCTGGCGGTCTCTGACCTGAGGGTCCTGCTTGTGCCAAGTTGATGGGGCTTATTATTCCGCCCCCCAAACCCCCCACAAAGGGCCTCAAGGTCCCCCACGCTGCTGAGACCCCAGGACAAGAGGAAAAAAAGGTTTTCTCCAGAAACGAACATGATAGTCAGAGCTACCCCTCTCGCACTGTAAGGATCTTCCTCATTATGGTGCAGATGAATTCAGCTCCTGAGGCCGTGGCCTGCTGGGTCCAGGATGGGGTCTTTGCTCCGTCTGTATACAGCCCGCCCCTCCCCCCGCCCCGCCCCAAATGCCAGTCAAAGAGCACTCAGAGCCTTTCAGAAACATTGCAGCTTCAAATTCAAAGGCAGTTCTCCAGCCTGCACCTGCTTCTACTCATTAAGGTTTCAGGAAGAAATCAGGGTTTGGTCCTAACATTTTGTTCACTGCTCAGCGAGAGTTGGGGTGGGGGTTGGCTTGATCACGAGGTCGGTATGAGACGGGGAGGAGAGAGGCGGGGACCTCTGCGTTGCCGGGTAGAACTCCGCTGTCAGTCCCGCATTGTCACTAACCGAGATGTTTCTGTCGCCTCTGTAGAGCCCCTCTGACCGAGGAGGTGCCTTTACCTTGGAGCCCGGCGACCTCCTGATGGATTTCACAGAAGCCACTCCTCTGGTAAACCTCCCCTTTCGCTAGAACCAGAAAAGCCACAGGCTGTAGAGACACCTGGGCAGGGGGACAGATGGACAGAGGTGGGCATCGCTGTGGGGAAGGCTCTTCCTGGTGCCGCTCTCAGCCTGGAGGCCTGGGGGTCAGCTTTCGTTGAGGGTGCAGGCGCCACAGGTCCCGCCCAGAGTCAGCGAGGGAGGCCCCTGCTCCCTTTCCTCTGAAGATGGCGCTGGTCCCGCCCCCACCTGCCTGCTGCTCCCCCAGCATTGGGGCTCCTTGGTGCTTGGGGCTTGGCTTCCTGGCTTCCTGGCTTCCTGGGCTGTGCCCCGCATGCCCACCCATGGGGCATCACCTGTCACTTAAACAACATGCGCTGGTCTGAAGCACCTGCTCACGTCCTCGCCTGGCTTTCCAGGCCCCTCGTGCCTCCCTGCCATCCTCCATCCCCTGCATACAGGTCTCCCCTTCGGGAGGGCAGCCCTCCTGGGACTCGTGCAGGCGGGAGAGCTCGGAACAGGGGTCCTGCAGGCCAGGCCTGGCTCCAATCTCTGCTCCCTCCTTTAGAGCCTTGCCATTGGCTAGCCGCTGCCTCATCTGTCAGATAAGAATGTCATCGTTTGCTCTGTCTGCCCTACGAGTGTTAGAAGGATGGAGAGAGAGAGGGAGAGAGAGAGAAATTTTCAAGAATGCAAAGCACCATAAGTATGTGTAAGATATTACTACTGATATTATTGGAAAACGCAGGCAAACTTGGATGTATCTTGGACTCGCTGTAATATCCGGGTTTACTTGAGCATCAGTCACGGTCCACAAATTTGGAAAGTGAGTCAAAATGTGAGGCAAATTAAAACCGTCTCCTGAGAGCTCACTGTGCTCCCCGCCATGTGGAGGCTCGGAGTGGACAGGGCAGCCAGAGGTTGGAGGGGAGGCAGGTTGATAAAGGGCCAAGGTGGACAGGGGAGCCAGGTACAAGATGCACAAGGAGAAGCCAGAAGGGGGAGTCATTTGGGTGTGGCTCGCTGGAGGAGGATTTGGTGGATAAACACCTTTCTGGAAGGTTTTCAAATGGGGCACGATGCTGTCCAGGCTTTAGGAATGATCACCAGTCTTGCCTCAGCTGGCCCAAGGCCATCCCCTGTAGTTTATACAGTTTTACCTCTCACCTGGAGATGGGTACCATCTCAGGGCTTCGAGTCGGCAGCTTTGAATAAACTGCTGAGATCAGATGGTTCTAGGAACCTTCCGAGTTATTCCCCGTGTGCAAGTGAATGGAACCAAGTTATTCCGGGTCTTTTTGTTAGAAAAATTGCCAAGGGAGGGTAACTCAGAAACAGGAGCCTTCGTCATCCCTTTACACAGTTGGGGAAACCGAGTCCCAGCGTGGGGTAATCACACAGGGACTGAGATGGCGCGGGAACCCAAGTGTCCTGACTCCTCCTCCGGTGCTCTTCGCATCAGACTGGGCTGCACCCGGCGTCTTCTTTAGGGAACTTGCCACCTGGGAGGAGAGCCTGGGAGAAGGGCTGTGTTAAAGCACTCCCCAGACGGGGAAAGTTCGCCAAAGGGCCTGGAGCAAAGGGCAGCAGGTTAGGTGACGGGGCCTGGTGCTCCATCAGTACCCCATGAGTACACCCGTTACATCCTGGCGGGCCTCGGTGGCAAGCTGAGGACATCCCGCCTCCTGGAGGGCAGCATCCCCCAAAGGACCAGAGAAGCCCTAAGGTACAGTCTGAAAGGGGAGAAAGCCACGTTCCTAGGCTTCACGGGACCAGGGTTTTCAAGTGTGAGTAGGAGTTTGCCATGTGGAGAAAGTAGACCCAAGCATTCTATGCAGAGGACACACCATGAACAGAATGCTGAGTATTTATTAAAAAGACCTGATATATCTGAGAACTAGGATTATATATATCATAGCTTTGATAGGAGTCATGGGATTCAATTAAGACCATGTTATGGATCCAGCTTGTAGATTGAATTGCCCATCTTTTCTTTGACTATAAGACTGAGGTTAGAAAGGAAGCAGCGTCAGGCAGCGACCCAGAGGTTCCATGATATGAGATGCAAATGCCTAGCAAGTGACTGTCCAGCCTCTGTCTGTACCCCTCCAGCAGCAGGAGCTCATTCCTTCTCCCCAGGACACCCGGCTGGCATCTCTGGGGGCTCTTAGCTCTGAACCCGGGGCCAGGGTGCTGTACTGGCCGGGCACAGGACGGCTGAGATCCTTGTACTGCACCGAGACCGGGCTGCCCACTTCACATGAAGTTTGCGGTGAATACGTGCTCTCAGGGTGAAGCATCCTTTGTCTTGCTTGCGTGGATTTGAGGCGTGAGTGCACGTTCACACAGCAGGCAGCCGGAGGGCTGGTATTTTGGCGGGAGCCCACCCCATTTGGGCTTTCCTCGGCATCATTGGCTTTGCCCTCACTTCGCTCTAGAGTCCTGTCTCTTTGGGTACCTAAGGGTTCCTGAGAGGAAGAGGGCCTCTGGCAGCCTGCTTCTCCCTCTGTCTGGTCCTCTGCCCTCCATCTCCTCCATCTGCTCCTCCCAGTGTCATAGCAACGCAAGCAGCAGCCCTCTCTGCCCTCATGATAAGGGTGATGGGGGATCATGTTGTCTGTGACTCCGGACAGCAGAGGAGAGATGGGGCTTAAGGTCTGGGGCCGAATGAGACCCCTAAAGCCACATCATGGCCCTGGGTCCTTGGAGAACAGAGGAAAGAAGAGAGCACAGAGCTGCACAGACAGGGAGCTGGAGAGGTGAGGGGGATAGATTATCTTGCCTTCATCTCCCAAGACATTATCAGAGCTGGTCTAACCCTGGTAACTGTCCACCCTCATGAGCCAGTCTGTGCGGGGTGGTTTCCAAAGAAGCATAGTCCAAACAGCCAAGCATAATAAGCAGGTTCAACCTTTGACTGGGAGCTCCAAAAAAATTCAAGGTTAAACTCCCACCTGGTAACACTTCTTGCATCTCTTTGCTGCCCTCTTACCTCTCTTGCCCCCTGCCCACCTGCGAGGACTTTCATCCCCAAGCTCCTCACAAAAACATTCTTTCCAGCTTCACTCTTGCAACATTTTTCCCTCCTTTCCCCAAACCTCTTCTTCTCTCATTCCCAACTCCTTGATGGTGTAGCTCAATTTAGCAATCAAAGTCCCACCACCTCTGCAGCTCGTTGTCTGCCCAGTCCCCGAATCAGCACCACAGACTTCATAACCGGATCAGTTTCTGCCTGAGATGGAAGAGGTGGGGTGGGGTGGGTGGGGAGAGAAGGCAGTGAGTGAAGACAGCACCCACTCTCCATCTGCTGTTCTCTGCAGGGGTGTGAGTGTGAGCAGTGCGCAGAGGATGCTGGTGTTAAGAGAATGAGGGAGGTTGGAAGGAGGATGGATGCTTTCTCTTTGGGGTTTGTCCCTCCCTGATCCCCATTATTTCATAAACCACTCACCCAACTGCAAAGCCGGTCACAACCCAGGCCTCTTCCGGGTCAGGGATGGTTGGTCAGGGAGGAGGCGGGTCTAGCCAGAGGAAGGCTGTGCTGGGCACAGAATGGCTGGGTTTCCATTTGTCTCATAACTTAGTTTTTATTTTGAGCCTCATTCTATCATGAGGGCTAAAGCTTCACCCCAACTCAAATCGGGGTACCTCTTCAGTCCCCCTATGTTTTCCAGGGCATGGAGAGAGGGAGGGCATCATCTAGTTTGTGATGTCATCGCTTGCCCATACATCGGGGCCCTCTGCTTCCCGCAGGCAGAGAGTGGAACATCAATCACTGTCCTGCTGGGGTGTGCATCCTGATCTGCTGGACACACCACACAGCCCCGCTACTCTGAGACCTGCCACCTCCTGGCTCTCCCTGAGCAGAGGGACACGGGTCCTCTCTGGCTTTAATCTCCGTTCCCCAGCCTCAGCCCACAGATGGGGGCACAGGCCCCTTTGCTCAATGCTCCCTAATGTCCAGCCCTCCTCCCTTCCCTTCTGGCTTTCTCCTTTGTCCTCAGATGGGCAATCTCTTTCCTTATCTGGATGATGAAGCCTCATGCATTTGCATCGTCATTTGTCCAGGCTGAAATCTTCCCCAAAGAGTCGAATTTTGAAACACAAAAGCCAAGTAGAATCTAGCTGCCCGAATGTGGGCAAGACCCAAGGAGCAAAGGAAATACCAGGCCGAGAAAATAGAACGGCCTTTCAGAAGAGTGTCCTGCTACATGTTATCTCACTTCCTGCTCAGTTCCTAGAGTCAAGCGTGCGGGAGCTGCAGGAATATTCTTTTGTCCGCTCAGATGCCTGTTTAGAAAGGTCAGAGGTGCTTTTGGGATCAACATTTCTTGAGTATAAAAAAGTCCAATGCTGGGCAAAGCCTTAAGTAATGATGATAACCTTCAATTCAAACACTGGCGGGCTGTACCCATGTTGGCTCCTAGGCAGGGTGTCCATGATTCTTGGTCATTTAGGCCAATTGTTATTTTCTTCAAAGAGCACACATTGAGCCTGCTGGTACCTGTAAAGGCAAGGGTCCCGCGGCCTGGGGTCCCTGGTGTAGTGGTGCTGGCTGGGGCTTTGATGCCTGGGACAGGGGTGGGGACCGAGCCTGAGGGCAGACGGGAGCCAGCTTCATGTAGGCCACGGATACTGTCGGACGGACGGATGTAGGATTTATGCTGAGGACCAGAGAGAACAGTAGGCCAGGAGGTGGAGGAGGGGGGAGGTTAAACTTAACTGCAGGTGACTCATATGGACTCACTTGTTTCTGAAGAATAGCTTTAGAAGCATCAGGAAGGGGTCTAGACCCATGGATTTAGACTTTGCAAATGCCATTTCTGCACATCCCAGATTTGAAGAGTACAACATGGCTGCCACGAAGGCCACTGTGAGATAACGGTTGTAAAAGCCCCTGGAAACAGTCCTGGGCCGCACGTGGTAGAGGACGAAGTTAGATCCGTGTGGAGACAGGAAAGAGGCCTGCAGTTTTCTTGACCAGCTTTCAATGAGGCTTACCCAGCGGGAGTACTGTATTCATTATGGCAGGATCAGACCAACCACGTAAGGAGACTCTCCAGAGTGACAAGATGCCCGTGTTTATTCTCTGGAGCGAATGGTCCCTCCCTGAAACCCAAGCGAACCCCATCAGCGGTCCCCGCCCCTGACATCAGAGCATTCTCTCTTCACCATCCTCATTTTCACCAGTACACGCTGCTGGACCTCTGCCGGGTGCATGGCACAATTTAGGGCTGGGGCGGGGAACCTGGTATCCCAAGTGACGTGGCATTTTCTCACAATGCTTGGCATCTTCCAGCTAAGCAGCAGGGTACCCCAGTGCCCATACAAGGTGCCAAGGCCTGGGCCCGTGGGTGTGGGAGGGGAAGGCCAGTATGTTTTCTGCACAGATAGAGATGACAGGTTCAGCCCTAAACTCTGAGTTCCTCCTCGCCGCCGACGTATCTCTTTCCTGGGGCGCTCTGCTGGGCATCTGCTCACCGATTCGCCATAAGGTGAATGTTTAGCAGAGTGGAGGAGGCCACCAGGCATGGAAGGTGGTCGCTCCCATGTGTGTGGCCACCCCTCATAGTAACCCCACACCGACATCACTCACTCACAGCTTTCTGGCTTGGCCTGGGCAATGCTTCAGAATCCTCAACAGCGTGCCAGGAAGACACTGCCAGTCCTGTGCAGTTGGCACAGGAGACGGCCCCTACCCACCCTCATCGGGTTGGGGTTTTGAGGCAGAGTTCTGCTTAGATGGTGGAGGAGACAGATGCGGGCCAGAGAGGAGGAGAGAAGGCGGAGAGAGGAGGGTGGTGGGAGGGACTAGCCTCCAGTTGGCCAGAGGCTGGAAGTAGGCTGCGGGTGAGGCTGGCTTGAGAGCAGGAGTTGACAGATCCGTCTTGCACTGTGCTATCTTTCTCTCCTTCCCCCTCCCTTATCTCCTCTTCCTCCTCCCCATCTCTCACCACCTCCTCCTCCCCTTCTCTCCTCTCCTTGTGAGCAGGCAGAGCCCACCAGCGCCCCCCACTGTGCCCACTCTCGCTGCTCTCCTCCACTCTCTCTCCCCATGAAGGAAGAGACCACTGGAGTTTGCATGCACCCTCCAATCAAAACGAGGCTGGTAGGTACCCAGCAGGGAGAGGGGCCTGGCCAGGAGAGGCGAGGCGGGCAGGAGCCACCAGGCGGCGGCCGCAGGGGTGTGCAGGAGCCTCAGACCCCCGAGGAGGCCGGCTGACAGGTGCTCTGGTTCCAGGATGGACACAAAATTTGGAGACCAGCTGGCTCTGGTCAAACTGGGACACAGGGCTGTGGTCCTGGCCCTTCGTCACTAGAACCAGAACCAGGAAGCTTGTTATCCTAGAGCTTCAATGAGCACAGATGCTTTTCCCAGAGAGGAAATTCTTAGTTGCATTTCTACTGAAAATAAAAGCTTTTTAAAACGTGTCTTTCTTGCTACTTATCAAGATAACATGAGTATTACATAATGACTTGAAAGAAATCACCCGTAACCCCAACCTAGCACGTTGTTGTTGTTTTCATTTTTGCATGTTTCCTGCTAATACGTATTCATATTTTTACAGAGTTAAAGCATAGTACCCACGCCATCTTCTGTTTTTCACTTAAGGTTGTGTTCTTTCTACCTTGTCCTTGTTACCACATTCTCTGTGACCGTTTATATGCCCCTAGGTGAGTGGTCCACCATTTACCTAACCGGTTCTCTACCGCAGGGCGCGCGTTTGGTTCCCAGTGTGTCACTTTCCCAGGGAACACACGTAGGCTCTGGCATCAGGCATTTTATTTTCTCAGGCTAGACCAGTGGTCGGCAAACTCATTAGTCAACGGAGCCAAATATCAACAGTACAACGATTGAAATTTCTTTTGAGAGCCACATTTTTTAAACTTAAACTATATAGGTAGGTACATCGTTATTAACTTAATTAGGGTACTCCTAAGGCTTAGGAAGAGCCACACTCAGGGGCCAAAGAGCCGCATGTGGCTCGCGAGCCGCAGTTTGCCGACCACGGGGCTGGACCCTGCTAGGTCCAGTATTGGGACTGACTTCGCTCCCTCGCTAAAGCGGTTATACCAAGTGACAGCACCTTCAGGAGACGATGCTTGGCCACGAAGCACAGCTGCTGGAATAGATGTTTTCTTATTTAGAGCAGGTACAACATAATTCTTCGGAGTTGCCAACGTTCACATTCCTTTCATAGCAATAACCAACCTCTCTCCCCTTCTACTTCATGCTGGTCTGAGAGTCTCACCTGTATGTTACCTTTCATTTGGCTGTTGGTCTCAGAACACCACGTGGAGCCACTAGGTCGCACAAGGAGCATGCACCACGTGGCGCTGGCCCCAGTCCCAGTCTTGCTGGGCTGCAGGCAGCCGCCACCAGCAATCTGAGTTGGCACCTGAGTCTTAAGGCAAAGCGTGGGGTCCATGCTGGGAATTTGGAGATGTTTAAAGAGGCGGAAGAGAAGTTGGGGGAGGGGAGCAGACTTGGACTGGACCTCTCTCTGACTATTGCAAGGACATTATCATTCCCAGATCAGTTAGATTGAGACCTATCCCACCCATTCAGAAACCTCAGCAAATTTGGGTCTGGTTGATGTGAACTTGCTCATTCCTACTTTACTCCCCATTAGAGTGACTCAAGGGCACCAAGGAACTGTCCCAGGTTCCATAGGCAAGACCCTGAGGGACACAAAGGCTGCTTCCAATGGGCAGGTGTCTCGGCTGCAACCCTCTGCGGGGTGGGGGGGGGGGCAGAGTGTGCATCCCCAGCAGGTGTGCAGGCAGTTTCTGTGCCCTGGGGCTGCAGACAAAGCTAGTGCCAGAGCCACCCGGCCCCTGGGCATGCGGGCAGTTCTCTAGGGCGGCTCCCCCCATGCCCCAAGGATCCAGGAGGCCAAAGACGTAATGACCAGACAAAGAATGGAAGCAAAGGCTCTTTCTGGCCACCCACCACTGCCGGATCAGATGGCGCACCCCCCTCTCTCAGACCAGCCCTGCGCTGCAGCCACCCCTGGAACTGGGCCCCTTTGATCGCCATGCCTTCTGTTTCTGAAGGCCACGGTGGCAGGATTCTCACAGGCTTATGCGGGTTCCTCCGTGTCCCAGAGTGTACAGGGAGTTCAACAACTAACGTGAGCAGATAGGGAGTGCTTTCTGGCCTAATTGGTCTAGCTCTGGACTAATGGTATGATCTTGGGTAAGGCACTCCTCTGCCCACCGTGATAGACTGTGTCCCAAAATGTAGCCTCTCAGCTTCTCTCTAGTCCTTTCCCTACAGCCACCCAGGCAGCCCGGCCTGCCTCATGTGCACCTGGTCAGTGGGTCAGGCCAGGGATAGGGCCCAGCATGCCTGGGAGGCCCCAGCAGAGCCCAGTGAAGGGGGTTCCAGGGCGAGGTAAGCCTGGGGTGCCCCCCAAACATGAGACTACAACAAGAAGCGCAGATAAAACCACTGGCCACACTCCTGCGGAGCCTCTGTGTGTTTACCTACACAAGCAACGAAGGCTCTGTGTGTGTGCCCTCGAATCCTTCAGTTCAATTTAAAAAGCACACCGCCAAAGGTGGCAAATCGTTGTTTTCTAATCCGAAAGTAACACTTGTTTTCTCTCTTTTTTGAAGATAAAAACATTCCCAGTTGATCCAGTGACCTCGTTTCCTGAGCCTTTCATTGCGGGGCCGCAGTTTACCGTAAGTAGCTTAATCCAGAGAACCCGTCTGCACTCAAAGGCATTGTTCCCACGTGGCATGCTGTGCTGTGGGATGCCAGGAGCCATGCCAACAGCTTCCTTTGATCACTGTCAACTCTGACTTTGGAAGGACATAGGTTCTGGGGGGGTTTCCATCTTTTAGTTAGAAATTACCTAGATCCGATCCATGGGAGGAGGAGAGAGGGCATACTTGATCTGATCACAAATATAAAATTAACCATTTTAAATATGTTTTTATTAATTTTTAGAGGGAGAGGAAGGGAGGGAGAGAGAAACATTGATACGAGAGAAACCTCATCAATCGGCTGCCTCCTGCATGCCCCCTTCAGGGGATGGAGCCCACAACCCGGGCATGTATCCTGATGGGGAATCAAACCAGTGACCAACCACTGAGCCACACCAGCTGGGCTAAAAGTAATCGTTTTAAAGTGACAAGTCAGTAAAAGTACATTTAGAACCGTACAACTGCCACCATTATCTAGTTTCAAAACATTTTTATCACCCCCAAAGGAAACCTCATACCCACTCAACAGTCACTCCCCATTTCCTGCCTCCCTCTAGCCCAGTGGTTCTCAACCTTCCTAATGCCGCGACCCTTTAATACAGTTCCTCATGTTGTGGTGACCCCCAACCATAAAATTATTTTCGCTGCTACTTCATAACTGTAATTTTGCTACTGTTATGAATCGTAATGTAAATATCTGATATGCAGGATGTATTTTCATTGTTACAAATTGAACATAATTAAAGCATAGTGATTAATCACAAAAACAATATGTAATTATATATGTGTGTTCCGATGGTCTTAGGCGACCCCTGTGAAAGGGTCATTCAACCCCCAAAGGGGTCGTGACCCACAGGTTGAGAACCGCTGCTCTAGCCCCTAGTAGCCACCAATCTGCATTCCTTCTCTATGGAATTTCCTAGTTTGGATATTTCATATCAAAGGAATCATATGACCTTTTGTGTCTGGCTTCTTTCACTCAGTATGTTTTTGAGGCTCGTGCACATTGTAGCAGTGTCAGTACTTCATTTCTGTTTATGGAGGAATAATATGCCATTGTGCGTACATGCTGCAGTTTGTTGATCCTTTTATTCATTGATGGGTATTGGGGTTGTTTCCACCTTTTGGCTATTGTAAATCGTGATGCCATGAACATGCGTAGACATGGTATTTTGTTTGAGTCCCAGTTTTTTATTCTTTTGAGTTGGATCTGCATCTTGATAATAGTGTGATTTTAGATACGTCACTTGACCACTCTGAACACCAGTCTCCTCTTATTTAAAGCAGACCCAGTAATAAGAATATCCTCCCTGTATCCGGTTGTGGCTAGAATCAAAAGGGATGAAGAACTTAAAAATACTTTACTGGCCACAGACCATCCCACAAATGTCAAGTGTGATTGTTGTTTCTCAAGGCTGGAGAGGCAGGTGGTGTAATTAACAAGAGCCAGTAGTTGTGACAACTGGCATCCAGCCATCACCTCTCTCTGTGTTGCCGGGCAGCTTCTACTCGCTGCCAACAGTTAAAATGCTTTTTAACATTTAAGTGTTGTAGTTTCCTCATCTGCAGAACGAGAGGGTCTGATAATTTCCAAGTTTATTTTCAGTTGCTCAGTTCTTTTCTTTAAATGAAAACGGCTGCAGGAGCTCAGTAAATCATCGGCGGCTGTCCAGAGCACAGATGGGGAGTCCAGGGTCCCTCCTCTTTTGCTCTCACCCCCTCCTCCCAGGGATCAGATCTAGGTAATTCCTAGAACCAAGTGATTCCTGAGCCTCCTTCCAAAGGGTTTCTGGCCCCTCTGGGGGATCTGTGAGGTGGGCTGTAGTGACCTTGGGGTAGCTCCAAGTGCAGTCTCATGAGTTGGATGATGGTCACTACTTGAGGTGGTTTGAGTCACATGGAGAGGGAAGGTGTACACAATCCAGGCAAAGGCAAAAACAGGCTCCCAGAACATCCATTTCGAGGAGCATGAGCTGTTGCCAGCACCTGCCTTTTAAGAACAAGAGGACAGAGACACAGGGGCTGGGCCAGGCTGTTAAATATTATTACCCCAATGTTCATCCTACCCCTGCAGTTTTGCTAGGCACAGTTCCCCAGCTGGAAACTCTGGCTCCTCTTCCCTCAGCTGGCCGTAATGGGCACTCTGGCCTCCTGCCCAGCCTTGGCATTGCCGTGAGACACCCAGGGAAGCCCTTCCTGAAAAGCTGGGGGCCAAGACAGAGCAGGAAACCAATGTCAGAAACCACACTGGGACTTTTAAGAACTGGGCAAGAGTGGCTTGAAGGCAGCTGGAGGAGGCAGAGGGAACAGCATGAACATGGGGCAAAAGGGATCATCCCATGTTCAAGGGACTGAAATGAAAGCAAGAAGAACTAAAATGCAGAGAGCAAGGGAGTGGGGCATGAGAAGAGGAAGGGGAGGAAGGAATAAACACTCAAGGGGCAAAAACATGCTTCATTCAACAAATATTAAAAAGATGAGTACTCAGGGTTGAGATTTAATAATGTTAGTAAATTTCGCTGCTCCCCAAGGTCATTCTTAAGTGAAGCTAGCTTTTTTTCTTTCTACCTGGAGTGCATGGCCTTGAAGAATATAATGGCTGCTAATATAGTTTGGTGCCACTGCCTTGATTCATGCTAGCACTTTTACCCACCATTGCCTTTGTGCCATATTTCCCCCTTTTCCAAGAGAGTATCAAAAGTGACATTAAAAGCTCAACCTCCACCTAGATCACTAAAACAATAAAACAACTTTTTACTCCAGCTCCTGTATCGGGATGGGCTAAGTCATGCTTGAAAATGACAAACTGAATTTCCTGCTCATGCTGTATGTCCGTCATGGATGGGCTGAGGGTGTCATCCTCTTTCTGGGACCCAGGCTAATGGAGCAGCTGCCACCTAGAACATTGCTAGTCGCAGTGGCAGAAGGGAAAAAAGAGGCAATAAATTGCACACTGGCTCTTAAATCTTTCAAAGGAAACAAAATATGGCACCTCAAGTCACATTTCCTTGGCCAAAGAAAAGCATGTGGCCATGCCTAACTTTTAAAAAATATATTTTTTTATTGATTTCAGAGAGGAAGGGAGAAGGAGAAAGAGATGGAAACATTAATGATGAGAGAGAAACACTGATCAGCTGCCTCTGGCACACTCCCTACTGGGGATTGAGCCCAAAACCCAGGCATGTGCCCTAAAAGGCATCAAACCATGACCTCCTGGTTCATGGGTCTGTGCTAAACTAATTGAGCTACACTGGCCTGGAGGCCATGCCTAACTTTAAAGAGGGTGGGGAAGAGCAGCACTACCAGGGGCCTGGAAAGTGATGAGCCAGAATTATCTGGTGGACCACACATATGATGACTACAGCCCAACATTTGTGCAAGCTCTTTGTGGCAAACACTACATGCTGGAAAACATCTGATGCTCCCTTCTTCGTGGTCAAATCGTTGGCATTGCTCCCTTCCAGGCCAGGTCAGTTTTCCCTCTTGAGGCAGGTGTAAAACAAAAAGGGGCTTGTATTTTTCAGCAATAGCCTCTCATGACCTCTCACAGATAAGCCTCTCCCCATCACTCAAGCCAAATATATCCTTACAGAAGAATAGCTATACTTGATTTTTTTTAGAGATTTTTCAAGTTTTCCTAGAAGGGATAAGTTATCTTCTGTCTAAATGTAGTGCTCATTTGATGGTCAATGCCTCTTCTTTAGAAAGCCAGGAAATAGTGTGAAAAATCAAGTTATAAGATATGAAGCTGGCATTATCTAAAGGATATAAAACAAGCAAAAAGCATGCGCAGAAAAAATACAATGAGGACGTATACTGACAACAACAGTAAAGGATTATGGAATTTCTTCATTTATTTGCTTTTATATGTCTCCTAAGTTTTCTATATAAAAGTAATAAGCATATCATGCCTTTTAAGGCAAACAAAAACAACCAGTTGTTTTCTCCAAATGAGGCAGTATTCTCTAGACCAGTAGTTTTCAAACGTTCCCTGGTTTCAGAATTATCTAGAGGCCTTATGAAAACACGGACTGCTGGACTTCCCCAGACATTCTGGTTCCAAAGGTCTTTGGTGGGGCCTGAGAATTTGCATTTTTACCAAGTTTCAAGATAACACTGATGCTGCCAGTCTGGGGACCATACTTTAGAACCATTGCTATGGTGGTGAAAGACACCAGTTATGGAGCCAGCTCACCCTGGTTCTAAATACTGGTTCTTAACACACCCTGTGTGACCTTGGGAAGATTCTTGACCTCTCTGGAGCCTCACTTTCCTTTTCCATAAAATCAGTTCTAAGATGCACATTTTTTTTTCACCTTTTAACATCTCGGAAATAAAAAACTCATTACAATGGGGGGTGGGACAAAGTTTGATTGGTCACATTTTTCTTTCTCGGTGGTGGCACATGGAAAAATGGTGCATCTTACAATGATGGGGTCTAAGATGTGATGAAATATGACCTCCACCTTCCAGCATTGTCCGGAGGCAATGTGTGTCAAGTACTTCGCATGGTGCCTGGCACAAAGTAAAATCACTTAATAAATGCCAATTGAGTTTAGCTGTTATCAAAAAGTGACAGGAATTGCATGGTATGGCCTAGGGAGCAGCTGACAGAGTGCAGGGAAACCTAGACTGAGATTGCTTTCCTCGTTCCTGTTTCCTCTCCAGGCAGACTTTAGAGACAGTAAATTACAGTGCTGCCCTGGCCAGTCTTCCCCGCTGATCCCAGCCGTGACCCTGAGGCCTTTGACAGAGACCATCTCCACAGTGCAGACCATCTACACCACTCGGAAGCCTGTTTCTCTGGCAGCCAGGTGGGTCAGGGAAACCAGGCACAGGCCTTAGGTTCACTGTGTTTGTGACGTCTACAACCCAGTCATTCATTCTTTCATTCATTTTTTTCTGGGCTTATTGACATGCCTTCAAAGGCTAGACAGTACTTGAGGTGCTAGGGATGTACAGTGAACAAAGTAGGTGAAGTACCTTAAGAAGTTTACAATTTAGTGTTGAGGAAGAGGAGACAGACATTAAATGAGTGTGTGTGTGTGTGTGTATGTGTGTGCAAACAGTGGAGACAGATTCCACAGATAGGCAACTGGGCCTGAGGGCCAGGAAGTTAGAAGCAATCTCTTAAAGCAGCCAATTTTAATTCAGTTTTACTTATTAAAACAGGAGGGAATTGTAGGAGAAAGTGCATACGAGACCAATTGAAAGCTTGATTTAAAGAAACCTAGCCTCTGGACATCGTCCCAGTCACTCAAAAGACCATTCCTGAGAGGCTGCTGTGCACCAACGCCTGTGCTAGGCTCTGGGGGGTTCAGAGGCGAATGACGTATATACAGTCTGTCCCCTGAAGAACTCTCAGTCTGGAGGGGGAAGCCAATAGGTAGCCAGACAATTTCAGGTCATTGTCGTGCTAGCAAATGTAGGGGGCCCTGAAGGAGCCTGACAGAGAAAGTCAAGAACTACAACCAAGAACACATCTGGCGACTTCAGCAAGCCTGCTCTTGTGATTTTTGAGGCTTTATCTTACTGTTTTGTCACCTACTCTGTTTTTCAGTGCAGAGACGCTCCGGCAGGAACTGGAGAGAGAGAAAATGATGAAAAGACTGTTGATGACCGAACTGTGACTTCTCCCCTCGCTGCCTGGAGGACGGCATGGTGCCTTCTGTCATTTTCCTTCTTCGGGCTTTGTGTGCTCACTCTAGCACAACATGCAAATGTGTGCTCTGCTCGCCCGGGTCCCCGTGGTTAGTTGAAGCCAACATCTGGCTTGACTCTTATTGGAAAAGTTATTTCATGTCTCCTGAGTATTAGAGTTTTTCTTCTACTCAATGTAGTGGAGACAGGATTTGTAAGTCTTGGTGAAAAAAAATGGAAAAATGGGGATCCCTTTTCAGAAGTACCTGTGTGTATTCATTGATAACCACAGGGGTTACTAAGGCGCAGAATCCTTTGCTATCAATCTCAATCATGTGATTTTGTATGATTGAAATTTACACCAAGCTTTGACTGTTTGCTAAAGAGTCATTTTTAACGAGAGAATAATTCTTTATTGCTGGTTTTTCATTTACACTGGTAAATACACAGATCTTTTAAAGTCTTTAACATTCATTTTTATTCAGACACGAGTAGGTGAACTAAAAGGGAAAGTTGCTATTACCAGGACTCAAGGTACTTCAGCTTAATCTGAAACATAATTTCACTTGTGACTTTGTTAAATACGATATTATTTGGGATTCACAGAATTTATGATTGAACCCAAAGTAGGAAATTATAGGTTAAATTCTAAAAATCCTTATAAGATTAAGGTGATTCAATATCAGGATTCATTGGGGGTGTTCCATAAAGGAGAATTATTTCTAAAGTTGATCAATTCCTATCCTGTTGCTAGAACCTTGACCAGAAGAAACTCTGCTCTCTTTTTGTAAGTTTCCAGAAATGTGTTTTTAAATTTTTATTATGCACTTGAACAACTTTGCAGGAATAAAGGAACCCCCTAGCCACAAACTAGCCCTCCAAATTGTTTCCCAAGCTTTCTCAATGAATATGCACACCTTTTTTACAGTGGTATGATCGGTGTGTACACACTCTTTGGTTGTACTTCTCCGCCTAACACATAACTTCTCTTTTCAATACAGATCCTGCTCTCACCCATTTAAATGTCTTTATATCCTTATAACATGGTTAACCTCACTGCTCCCCATTATTAGATATTTGAGTTATATCCAAGCTCTCACTCTTATAAATAGTGCTGCTATGAATGTCTTTGTAAAAAAAATTACCCTTCCTTTGGATTCTCCCCCCTGGGAATATCTCCAAAGAGGGATTGTGAGGTCAAAGAGCATGAAGTATTGTATAACTCTTACTTTATTGCCAGATTGCTTTCTAGAAAGATCCAATCTTTGGGTTGGAAGGACCGTAAAGGTCAACCCCCTTGATCCCCTCTGAATGCTTGAACTCCTACAATTTATGATGCCACCAGCAATGTATAAGCATTTCTATTTACCAATAGCTCTGCCAGTATTGGGTTTTGCCATTTTAATTTATTTTTGCTTGTTTAATAGGTGTGTACAGTTGTCCTTGAAAGGTTGTTTTATTTCATTAATTGCTAGCGAGGCCGAGCACTTTTCCATGTGATGATTTACTAGCTATATTTCCTTGTGGGTAAAACGTCCATCCATTTCTTAAGACCGCTTGTTAAGTGGAACTGATCTCATATATTTGTATCAGAACTGTATTTTTATGTTGTGTTGTATAGTTTGCTCTCCTGTCCCTGTACTTAAAACTGAATGGTGCCAATAATTTGATACTAATGATTATTTAAAAAGAGCAATGCCTCATTTACTAGCATTGTTGTAAAAGGAGGCATGTAAGCAAATATTCAGATCACAGAGGATTAACCCCTGAAGTGCTGAATCTTTAAAATATTAATATTTTTTGAGGGAAATCTTTCTAAGCTGTATTACACACTTCCCTGCCTTAGTAAACAGAGTATACCGGAGAGTATTTCACCTTTTCTCGATGAGTCATGGTCATCATTGTAAACATCAGCCCCTTTTGGACTTGGTGTGGTGCAGTAATGTCATTAGAAGCTATCAGAACGTGTGGGGCTTGGCTTTGCCTTTCACAGGCTGTTGTGCTCGTCTCATTGATGGCTTCTACTGCTGTCTGCTCTGCTGGTGAAGCCATCTGGGGCAATTGGGGTATTTGGGACCTTTTCATCCCTGTACCACACGACCCCTGGCTGTACCTTTAAAACAGCTTTCGCCGTTCTTTATCTCGTGCACACGATGATGCCAAATGTGTTTCTGTACAATATGGGGAGCTCTCTGTGTCTGGGCTCATCAGCTCTTGCCAATCCAGCACCTAACCTGTTAGCTTTCTGAGTCTTCTGCTCTTCACCTCCTGCTCTCTGATGGGAACCTCCCGGGCAAAACAGGAAGTTCTCGTGCGGAGGCCAGGAACCCCAGTGTCACATGGTGTCAGGTTGGCTCTGCTGCTGAGGAGGGATGCATGGGCTTTCCGGCCGCTGTTTTCAGGAGCCTCTGAGTCTCCTGCTTCTTCCTCCCCGCGTCCCCCTGGGTTCACAGATGTTTCAGAAGGTGGATGTCACAGATGTCTCAGAAGTCTGATCACAAACTCGTTGGCTACTACTGTGTATGAAAACCCAGTACCTTTGGCAGCTCAACTCTAATCAGTAAAATCAAGAGGATTCCATTGTTTCAGCGGTTGTCCTGATTATTTGCCTACGTACATGTACGACGGGTGCTTGGCATTGGGAGCTGAGCAGAAGACATTGGCTTGGGTGGATTCACAGGGGTAAAAGTGAATTGGTACAGTCACTTCATCTGTTTTAAATACTTAAAACCAAAACAATGGTACCATATGGTCACACAACACACATGTTATGTCCAGGGTGGGGAAATCAGCACACACATGTTATGTCCAGGGTGGGCAATCAGCAACACACACATTATGTCCAGGGTGGGGAAGTCAGCTTGTTGACATAATCACTCCAGGCCTCCAAACTGCGGGCCACTGACTCCTGACGGGCATGGGGGTGAGTGCCAGGGGCCTGGGAAGCTGGCGACCCACAGGGTATGTGGACTGTAGACTGTGTAGGAGCATCTTTCTTAGGTTTGAAAAATTTTGAAACTAGGTCTTGGAGCATTCAAAAGATCCCACCTGAATGCACCCCAAATTTCATATTCCCCAAATAACACAGGAATATTCTAATATCTTTACCTTTCTTTCACCATCTCAAAGATCACTATTTTTAAAAAAAAATTTGACATTCCATTACCATTTTAAAGTGTACAAATTCAGTGGTTTTTAGTATATTTGCAATGTTGTGCCAGCATCACCACTAAATACAGAACATTTCCATCATTCCAAAAAAGAAACTCCATGTGTAGAGTCGCAACCTGTCTCCCATCCCCTAGCAACCACTGATTTACTCTCTGTTCCTAATTTCTGCCTAAGGATTTGCCTATTCTGTACACTTCGTATACATGGAATCACACAATATGTGGTCCCTTGTGTCTGGCTCCTTTCACTGACCACAGTTTTTTCAAGGTTTATCTGTGTAGTAGCATGGATCAGTACTTCATTCCTTTTTATGGCTGAGTAATATGCCATTGTATGAACATACCAACTTTTCATGGCTGAGTAATATTCCATTGTATGAATATTACACCTTTGTTTATCCATTATCAGTTGACAGACATGTGAGTTGCCACCACTTTTTGGCTATTATGAATAATACAAACATTTGTGTACAAGTTTTTGGGTGAACATACGTTTTCCATTTTCTTGGGTGTATAGCTGAGATTGGAATAGTTTGGTCACATGGCAACTTTTGTTAACTTTGGAGAAGCTGCTGGGATCACAGTTTTTACTCCTTAAGCCATCGAAAATGGAAAAATCACATTTATTACTAGACAGAGCATGGGTACATCCATTACAGGTCAGATACTGAGATGCAGCACTGATTTGGGGGAATTTTTATAACGGGGGAAAAAAGTTGTTTTAGTGAAGTGGCTTTGATGAGAAGAGAAAATAAAAATAAAGGTGGTTTCTTCTAAAAGTGAAATTAAGCTCAGGCTCATCTCTAGGTCCTTGTGTGAGTAGCTGGGTCTTGCTCAGCCAGTGGTCTCAGACTATTCAGGCAAAGTTTCCTCCCAGAAAATGTGAACAAAAGAGAAAAAAGGGGAATAAAACAGCAATAGATAGCAAGCTCAGGTTCCCAAACCAGAGAATCAACACTGAAATCAGAAATGTGTTTGTTTTTGGTTTGTTGTGGGTCTTTTTCTAAATGTTGATCAATTTAAAACTGACTATACCTTCCCTGGTGAACAGGAGAAGAAAAGAAAGGAATTTCAATTTTTAAGAAGTAGGGTTTTGGTGTTCTGTGTTTTGTTTTTTTGTTTTTTAGCATTACATGTTTATAGATTTTTCAATTGATTGCCTTTTTTGTATTTTAGAATTTTATACATTATACATTACAAAGCTGTTTTTGGGGGGCAAATTCTCTTTGTTTTGATTGTTAAATAGTTGTAGTTCATCTTACCTTTTTCAAGCAATAAATCTGACTTCTTGCAACAGCTGGTCTGTTGGGAGACCTCGCGAAGCCGAAGGGTTTCATGAATTATACCTGATTCACCCGTCAGGATAAACAGGTTTAAGCTCTAACTGAGCATCCCCCTGACAATGTCAGCTGATACCCAAGCAGCGGTCCTCAAACTACGGCCCGCGGGCCACATGCAAATACAAATATTGTATTTGTTCCCGTTTTGTTTTTTTACTTCAAAATAAGATATGTGCAGTGTGCATAGGAATTTGTTCATAGTTTTTTTTTTAAACTATAGTCCGGCCCTCCAACGGTCTGAGGGACAGTGAACTGGCCCCCTGTTTAAAAAGTTTGAGGACCCCTGCCAAGAGTAAACACTTGACCTCTGAGTCTCACATCACTTTCCACTATTTCTACACCAGCGCTATCTCCCGTCTCCCCTGCAGTCACTAGTTTCTTTTTGAATATTTGTATTTCGCAACCTTATGTGTTCATTCATGCCACTGGTAGCCTGGAACCCTGTTCATTCTTGCCTATTTCATCTGATTTAAACTCCCTCGTCATCATGGAGGTCACTATCACCACTCCACACAAGCTGACGTCTGGGTCTGCATTTGGAACCTCTCTGTGCTTTCTGTCTCCATCATTATTTTATTTGTTTATGCAAGAAAATATAACACACAAAAAAGAAAAGGCAGGCAAAAATGCTGACTCTGCAATACCAGCATAAAAAGAACTGAGTCAGTGTTTTCTAACGGAAGACAGCTTGGTTTGAATATGTTATCACGCCAAAACCACCATTGGAGGTGAACTCCGGGACCTGGCACGCAGTTAAGTGCTTGGTGTGAATACAGGGATGGCTGAGTAAACAACCAAAGGGAATTGCAAGCGGCAGGAGCGGATTTGAGAGAGTTGAGCATTCAGCGTGGCCATCAGGCCTGGTACAAAGCTTGCTGCGGGGGAACCAGCATACACTGGCTGCCTCGCTTTGAAGGGGGCGGGTTATGCAAAGGCCCCAGCAGCCTCTGCCGGTTACACACTCCAAACGTCTGGAGGGGAAGCAGGTGCATCCAGCCCAGCGAGCTGGGCTCTCGTGTCCCCTGGCTCTGAGCACCTACCTCAGTTCACCTAGCGTGGGGATCTTGCTATTTCAACTTCCTCCTGTGATGATGCCAAGACATCATGAGTACAGGCAGTGCTTTATAAAGGGTGTCCCAAAATTCACGCAAGATTTGAATTTTGTGTGAGCATTAACAACAACAAAAAATAAAAGCCTAATTTTACTTGGTTTATTGAATCAGATTCTAATATCTGTTGCCCTTTGATTTCAATCCCTTCAATTTGATAAGCATTACCAAGTACCAATTATGGCCCAGGAGCAGGGACAATGAAGACCAATGAAGACCATGGCTTTGCGTATGTGCCAGCAAAGTCGATGTGCTATTCCATACATAACCCTATACAGTGGGGCCTTGACTTACCAGTTTTTTGAGATACCAGCTGTCTCTCAGCTGATTTTTTGCATTGAGTTGATGGAGTAATTTGAGTTAACGAGCTCGGTCTCGGAACGAATTAAACTCGTAAGTCAAGGCCCCACTGTACTGTATACTTTATGAATCAATAAAAAATTTACAATTTTTAATTATAAACCTGTATTTTCTATCAAAATTACTTCTTGCGTGGATTTTGGGACACCCTTTATAAACCAAAAGGTGTCTGAACAAGGTGGGGCGCGGGGGCAGCAGTTCTGACCAGGTGTGTCCCAGGTAAACCTTCAGGGGAGCACTTCTTAAGCCTGCGCGAGCACTCGGGGTCTCTGGGGGGCCCTGGTGAAATGCAGACCCTGACTCCCGAGCCTGCAGCGCGGCGAGGTTAGGGACGCTCACAAACTGAGGATGCTGAGCTGCTGAGCTGAGGACCGCGTGCTGAAGAGCAGGTCCGGAGGGGCCACCTCTGCGTCCGCGGGAGACACGCGCCGGGAGAGGAGGAGCAGTGGGGAGGGTGGGAGGAAGGACGGGGGAAGCGAGAGGAGAGGCTGGGAGGGAAAGGAGGGAGGCTGCGGCCCCGGCGAGGATGCGCAGACCGAGGCGGCTCCGCGGCTGCGCGGGCTGCGGGCGGGGGACGGGCCGGCGCGTCCTAAAGGCGGCGGAGGCGGCGAGGTC